TGATAAATGCATTGATTTTATTAGTAATAATGAGTTATCTATTGAATGAAAAAAAACCAATGAGTATTTGCATTTAGAATAAAGAAAAGAAATGATTGTGTATATTCTTAGTTTGCTTTTCACTCTGTTTACTAATGAGAGTTGAATCGGTTGTTTTAGAGCAATGCTTTTCATAGAGAAATGAAGAAAAACATGAAATAAAATATCTATTTAGCGTCCTTACAATCCGCATATTCTTTTCAAGAGACACCGTTATAATTACAATAAAGAAGTGTTATAAAATCTCGTATACAAAAAAGAGTATGATACTGGTTTAAGAAAGTCTAGTATGTCATAGACTTACAATTTTATGACTTCTTCATTATCATCTAACTTTTCTTTTATAAATATAATGCAGAACATTAGTTTTTTTTGTCGATATCACTAAGCATAACAGTAGACTATCTGATGAAACTATTTCATAATGTTCTAGTCAATCTAAAAGTATAATATGACATCATCAAGAAAATGTCGGTTAGACGTGACATTCAATCTTAACAAATCAAAATATTCTGATATTTGATCCATTGTTAAAATATTACAAGAGCAACTCGTTAATTATTTGTTATTCTAATAAAGTGTCTCTTGAATAACCAGGTCAGAATGGAACTTTTTCCTTCTTCTCGTTGTTGGCAGTTTTCTGCGAAGACACTGACCTATGTTTAAACCTCACTTCCTCGTGATAAGCATGATTCTATTCTCGTTCGTCAACCAAAACCATGACTGCAAATACAACATAATCGTTTTCTCATCTCAAGAGTAAAGGTGACATTCTGAATCTTTATGACTGCGCCACGAGTTGTGGTTAACATTCGAGCATAGGGTCATTTCTCTCTCTCGTGACAGATATTTTATATCTACGAATTTCAAAGCACATTGAACAACTATACGAAACGACTTTTGTTGATTTCAAGGCAATTTACAAAACTTGTTTTGTTCTGAAACATGGAATTCGACGTGAGAAATTTTTCTTCAAATCGATATTTACTTCGAAATGGTTTTAGTCCAATGAAAATTTTACTTCTCATGGGTGTCTTACGTTTCATAAAATCATTGTGTTCATTATTTTCTACAGTCAGTAGCGGCAAGTGAGCGCAGATAATGGTGAATCAAAAAACTTAATAAAAAAAGTTCAACAAAAAGGGCTGAATTTATCTCTAACTTTCCTACTAAATACATAGACATTCTAACTTCCATCTGTATTATGCAATTAACATGACGATAATTTTATCGATTGACTTTTGTAGAGAAATATGAGTAAGCAAAGTTTTTATTTTATAGCAATAGTATATTAGGATGAAACTTGAAATTTCAGTTTAGCTATTGAATAATTCAGTTCGAATTCCATCAGAAGTTTCGTTTTCATCTTCATATTCTATGATAGTTTTTCTTATTAATTCTCTGAATAAATATTGATCGAAATGATATTAGAGGCTTTATTCGATCATTTTAAACTTACTACATGATTCTTCGAAATATTGAAATTTTTGAATTCGATGATTTTCTCCATCAGTAACAAACATGTTTCCAGAACGATCGAAACTCAAACTAGATGGATGATTTAATTGATTGGATTGTGAACCTCTTTCATAACATCCAACTAAACATCGAAAACCATTCAAGTCTGAGCCCACAATGCGATGATTATTCTGATCTGCAATGAATAAATATTTCTCAGCATCTAATATGATTCCAGTTGGACAACGAAGTTCAACCGTTAGATCTGGTATTAAATATTGCCCGGCTACTGTGATACCATTTGATTCACCTGACGGGAACAGCTGAATTCGATCATTTCCACAATCCGCCACATATAAATCCAAATTGACATTGACAAATATTCCACGAGGATAATTAAGTTGATTCGAAGCTGATCCTA